CCAAAAAAGAAATTCAACTAGTGAATTAGAGAAATCATACTGCCATTCAAGAGTCAAGGAATGGTTTCAATTACTTGATAAAGAGGTTCCACAAATTACACAAACTCTTTTTCATATTATGTTTTCTTAAAGTTAAACATATACATATTTCTGCAATATTTCTTCAACCACGGGTATGTGCCATTAATTATTTACATGCAAGCAACTAAAGGAGGTGTTTATTGAAGAACTATAAATTCTATTATGCTAATAGGCAACATTGAAAAATAAACAAAGACAAACTTGATTCTTCTAAACCATTCATTCCCTGCACCAGCCCCCGAGAAAAAAGAAAGATAAAAGCAAAACAAATGCATGTAATTTCACCTTAAAATGGCATACATATATATAGTATGTGTCCAGGATTTGCAATTAACAATTATGCACCAAGAAAATATTTTTTTTGAACCGAAACACACAATGGAAAAAGTTTGTCAAAATCTTTCACTCTTTATTGGCTAAAAGCCTCAAATCAAAAGTTTCCAAATCCCTATAACCCAACCCAAGAAAATGAAGAAATATCTGCAAGCAAATGAATTAATGCATGAACACATATGGTGTGTAGATAACATGTTTTCAATTATGAGAAGCATTTTCTTAAAACTTTTAGGTTTCTGAGAAAATAGTAACAAAAAAAAGATATAAGAACCATTGGTTATTTGATTTTTCATATAATGTACTCTCTTTACTTGGACATAAATACTTGTGCTTCACTCAACATTGCAAAATTGGATTTTGATCAGATTAAAAATCAATAAATTGTTTTTTCTTTTGAAGCCCAGATAATTTTAAGCAAACAGAGTGTAAAATTAAAATTTTTGATTTATCTTTTTTTTATTGCCTAGATTAATGTCTCGGCAATCAGACAGAACTTAGATTGACATAATCGACTATGCTAGCATATAAACTTTAACTCGTGTTAAGAAAATCAATTTAACATTAAACAAATGCATCCATATTGAGACTTATATTCTTGAATTGTTGGTTTAGCTTCACGCCTTCACCATGTTACTAGCCAAGTAAGAGTTGGCAATGGTCCCCAAATGAGAAAACAATTCAGTTGTCCACACAAAAGTCAAGCTCCATATTCCTCATATTGATAATTGTTTTAATTTGCCAAAACTATTAAATATTTCAAATTATATTTCTCTTTATCTCTATAACATATCAAGAACAAACTCTTTATACTAGTATAATGCATTTAAGTTCTAGTCTCAATATTCAAATCTAGAAAATTAAAGAAAGAAAACAAACCTTAATATAGAAATAATTCGATCACCACAAGAATAGATAAGCAAAGTTCACTCTCTGCTACTTGCTGAAAATGAGCTCATATTTTCTTTGTACTTCTTAACAATCAAGAATCATTTGGAATAAACACATAGTGGAAATGACGGTAAAAGGGTTTAAGACTAACATTCTCATATCAAAATTAATTAGTTTCCCTAGCAATGATCAACTAAGAAGACTAATTCAGAAGCCCTATAAACAAATAAACTTCAAGGTTGCAGGATGCATATCACTTACCAGATTAATTGATTCGCTTCTAGAAGTACAAGTTAGTGGAGATTTAGACAATAAAGAGGATGTTGTCGCCCATTGGTGAGTGAAAAAAAAAAAAGGATGGTCGAAGTCTGAAGGTGATAGAGAGGTTGAGAAGCAGATTGAAGTGATGGACTGATGGCTTGTTTTGGAACACTTAACAGTCAACACTAAAGGACTTTGAAGAAGAGAGGCTTAGCCACTACTCGTTAGGGTTAATGTGGTATTGTGGAATATGGATGGCTAAGTTTTTCAACTTTTTAGTGCAGTTACTGTAACTTCAATGCAATATATATATTCTTTGTAACCTTGTGAAATTGAGTTTAAAATTGTGATCTCAACAATTTAATACAATTTTATTATGATTTTATTATTTTTCAAGTTTTTAATCTGATTGAACAAGGTAAGCATATGTTGACTCATAAAGTCATGATTTTATGAGTCAACTCATGATTTTAACAACATTGACACCCATTGTTAAATAGGACAAGTTCAATTGGAATTAATGCCTATAAAATACATTGAAAAAGAAGTAAAAGAGTAACATTCCCTATGCATTTACAATTGACAGTTTGATATATATATATAAGTTTGTGTAAGACCTAACCTTACAACAAATCAAGGATTACAAGTTGATTTACAAACATGCTAATTATATTGAGGTGATTGATATACTTTAAGGTACATTTTTCTTTTCACTATAAGAGTTACATGTTAGAGAAGTAATAAAAAAAATATTGTTGCTTTATCTAATATGAAAGTAAAATTCATTGTATGCTATGAAGCAACGACATAAATGATTTAGTTAAGGAAATTTATTTCTAGTCTTAAAGTTGTTGATTCCATATCATGACTAGTAAATATATATTGTAATAATTTAGCTGTAGTTTTTTTTCCAAAGAATAATAAGAGTGGAAGCCGAAACTAACACATTGATATAAAATATCTCATTATAAAAGAGAAAATGAAAGAACATGTAAAGTTCATTGAGTATATTAGCATTGAGTTAGTGATTGCATATCCCATAACTAAAACATTGTTGACAAAAACAATATAGAGATCATATGAATTGTATAGATTTAGCTAACCCATTTGATATTTGACTTCATTTTATTTAGTTGATTGTCTAAGCATTTTTCTTTATGTTGTTCTTAGGTATTAAAGTGATGTTTTGTGCATGTAAAATATTAATTTTAATATTTATTGGGATATAAAAACTGAGATCCAAATTACTTATTGAAAGTTCATTCATAAAGTTTTTTTTTTTTACTAATTAAGTGCTTATTTTCAGGATACGATATATTATAATATATGAAAGGAAGTACTTGATTATAAAGTGTGACCTCCATGATTTATATGTTGTATTATTGATCTAAATGAGTATTTTCATTTACTAGATATTTTTAAAAACACACGAGACATTCCTATTTATTCTAGTTCTAGATTTATAATACTTTAAATGATTCCTAATTAAAAATTACATAACTAATAGAATTCATTAAGCATTAAGATTCTCAAAGAGTAAAATACTAAGTAAATTAAAAGTCATAATCTAAATAGAAAAATCAATTCAAATACAACAAGATAAATAAATAAAATCTCGCACAATAACTTCTAGACCTTATTTGAAGGTTTATATATATATATATATATATATATATTCATCATCATGAAATTTTTAACACAATTAAAAAAAAAGGCTTTTAGAATCTTTTATCTAAATTTCAACTTGATTCAATGGTCGAATTAAAAGTTGTATTTAATTTACCAAACTATATCTTAGATTCTTCTTAAACTCCTCAAAACCTAAAATTATTAACCATTAATGAAATAATATAATAAATATTATTATTTCAATAATATTAAAGGAAATGTCTCATGCCCGTCCTTTCTACTTCTGAAAAAACTTGCTCTCAGGTTATTTGTTAAGAATTGAACTCTTCCACTCCAAGAAAACAAATACTTTGAATATAGCATTATAGCCAAAATATTCACAAGCTTTTAAATTTAATGTAGGATGTGTACATGTTAAATAAATATCTAAATCTAATGTTATATTTTTCGTTTCTATGAAGTCCACTTTTAATTTCTTCATGCATTCTTTTTCTTCAAAGTTGAGGTCATTATCATGTATGACTTCCAATACTTCAACCTTTGTATATAAAAAAACTTTAAGATAATATTTTATAATACTTTTAAGATAACTTTAAAAAATTATCATGTCCTTCGTAGCCTTTAAAAAAAAAGACTGAAAAGTCATTATTAGTCATTTTATTCTCAAACTTAAGGTCAAAGGACTGAAATTGTTTTTCAACACCCTATTTAATCATATTATCTCCAACATGATTAGATAACTTTGAAATTTTACTCTCACAAAACTCTATATTTTTCGTCCTTATCTTTTGAGAAAGTTGAACATAAAATCAAATAATAACAATCTATTTGCTTATCTAACCAATATAAAATCTCTTCATCTTGTATAAACTTCAAGATTAATGATTGTCTCAAATCTTTACATGGTGGAATTAAAAGCTTATCAAAAGCTTATCAGAATGAGTTATATATATTCTGGAATTTCAAACTATCATTCTCTAGCACTACAAAAAAATATGTACGACAAGCCATACTTTCTAAAAACATTAAAAACAAGAAAACTTGTTGAAATACAGCAAACTTCCAATATGTCATTCAATTAACAAAAAATTTTTACAAAAAAGATTTCTTCTTAGAGAAGAATCTCATCACATCCAAAAATAAATACAAGGTTTGCCTAACTTAAGGTAAATCTCCAAGCATGTTCCTTTTCTTTTCACAATCCTTTTTGTGCTTTTCATCAACCAAAAGACTTGTTCCATTCTTGTAAACAACAAGATATTATGCAATAATCAAGCCACAATTTGCTCCAACTGATCATGTACCAACCTTCTGAGACCACAGAACACCCCAAATGTCCTTCACTACGGGTATGCTGCTACCGCCTCAGTCTCTCAAATAGGCCAACTTGTTCTGATATCAATTTACATTACGTGTAGCATAGATAAAAACTAATTCTCAAACCCTAAGATTACATCCTTAAATTGTACAGAAATTTAAAGAAACAACTCTAATATTTTATAAAATTTGAATCTTAATAATAATATAAATCTTATAAAAAAAATTCTTAATTAAAACTTAGCTATCTAATAAAATTCATCCAACATTAATTTTTAATTTTTAATTTAAATAGAAAAAATCAAATACAAGATAAATTAAAAAAAATTACAAAACAACTTCAAAAACTTTTTTAAAGACCTTTCCGATTGAGAATCATCATGAAATTTTAACTTAAATTTAATAGAAAACAAGGTCTTCAATCAATATCAACACGATTTAACAATTAAATTAAAAATTATACTTGATTTATTTATCAATCTATATCCTAAAATCTTAACCCATTAATAAAATAATACAATAAATATTATTATAACAAGAATATTAAATAAAGTGCCCCACGGCATATTCCAAAACTGATTGATCCAAATCTGATCGAACTAATCAATATACTATAAAAGTAGACCTGGTCGTCAAAAAAAGATACAAAAACCCCATGGGGCTTGTGTAAGGAATACAGAAGCATATGCTTTTATGGAAATCTTCTCCTATTCAGCTGTCTTGCTGGCCTTGTAGGCGTTTACCAATTGCATTTGCACATCCTGAGAGACAGGTAAATGTTCTTTATATTCCATTGTGAATTCCCCTTTCCCCTGTACAAAATGAAAAGGATCAGTATGCACAGACAAATATTGAGCAAGGAAACACTTCGCACTTCCAAAAGAAAAGAAACTTGAATCTCCCAGTTCATGATCACCTGCGTCATTGAACGTAGAGCAGTCGAATAACCAAACATATTGTTCAAAGGCACCTGAAAAGTCAAATCACAGGAACTCCTCAGAATCAATTAGTTTGGGATCAAATTATCACCTCATGATCATGGTATACGCTTCCACTCATCCTTTAACTTTTTTCCTTTTATCAAAGTAGGCCTCAGATACTAAAAAACATAAAGGGGAGAAAGCTGTGCTTACATGGGATGTTATTATAGAATCATCCCCATCCTGGTCATTTCCAACAATCACACCTTTCCTCCTATCACACGACAAGACAAGCAATTTGAGTTCTAGAGAAAGCAAAGAGAGAAACAATGATAATACATGGTAAAAAAAAGTCACTCACTTGTTAATGTCACCTGCAACTGTACCCTGAAACTCCGTTGGTACTTTCAGTTCCACCAGCATTACAGGTTCCAGTATCACAGGTTTTGCAGCAGTGTAACACTGTTTAATAGAATTTTGAAAGAAAAAAAAAGAAGAGCGAGAATCAGAGAAGCCTCCAAATACAGCCCATGCATAAAGAAATTCACCAATAAACACAGGATAAGGGAAGTACCTGTCTAAAAGCATATATTGCTGCTAATTTAAATGCAAGTTCGCTAGAATCCACAGCATGAGCAGCACCATCAGTCAAAGCAATTCGAAGATTTTCTACCGGGTGCCCTATTAAAGAACCACTGTACATGCAAGTGCAAAAAGAGGTCACAACTTTATCATATGAAATCACACATGGTGCAAACCTTTATATTACAAATGGAACGAAAAAGTAGCGTCAACCTAGTTCTCAAAACAAACATTTCTAACACCATATGCCAAGACTTCAAATAACTGTAGTTATAAAGTTCTCATTTAAGTTTTCAGTATGAATTTTTGTTCTGACCCAAGGGAGAGACTAAAAAGAGGGAACTTCCAAAATACTTCCAGGATAAAACAGGAACCTTCTCATAAAGTACAAAACTATGATCATTATTCTTGCCAAAAGCTACTCACGAATTGGCAGCTTCTTTGAAGCCCTTCTCGATTGCAGGAATAAAATTTGATGGTATAACCTGTCCCACGATCATGTTATCAAACTCGAACTTAGTCATTGACCCTTGTGGAATTGGCTCGATGTACCTGTACATGGAAAAATACAGCAAGGCAATCCCAGGGATCACATTATAAAGTTGGTACTTCGGTTGAAATTGATCATATAGTTCTGGAAAAAACAAGGTAAATCCAAACAATTTGCACATTTAACTAGGCAATAACAGGAGTACCTAGGAAGCAGCTTGATGCTTTCTATACATAACTGATGCATAGAAAGATATACTGCCAAAAGGTGGGTGAAGCATATACTTTTTTATTATATCATTAGGCCAAATTAGATACCACAACAATCGGATTTCAACATGGGAAATTAATACTGAACACTCACCCGCATACTCGTCCATATTGTCCTTGCCCTCCACTTTGCTTCTTATGTAAATAATCAAATTCAGCACGCTGAGTAATGGTTTCCCTGAAGTTCACACGAGGTTTCCCAACACTTGCATCAACCTTTTCAGACAACAGTTTTGGAGGAACATAAATTAATAAAAAAATCATTTCTAACCAGAATACCAATAAAATGGAAAAAACTGTCATAACAGGCAGAGATACCTTGTACTCTCTCCTAATCCGTTCCACATATATATCCAAATGCAACTCTCCCATTCCAGAAATTATGGTCTAACCACAAAAGCATCATTACATCACACCAACAGGTTACTGTATGATTAAAGAAATAGTGCATGTAAACATTTTACCAAAACAAACCTGAGCACTCTCAGGATCCAAGCCAACACGGAAAGTGGGATCCTCTTTCTGAAAACGATTCAAAGCTTTTGAAAACTGAAAAAATTCCAAAAGAAAAATGCATGTAAATTGGAGGGCACAATATATCATGAAAATATTGAAAGAGGCTCCAAACTTTTTCCCCCTAAGACCCTGATGTCATGGTTATAATTTATAAATTGAGTTCAACAAAACCAGGGGAAAGAAAATACATTTCCTTAGTACTTACTTGTCCTCCGGAGTCTTTTGAAACTGGTTGAATGGCCAGTGACATAACTGGCTCAGGGACATTCATAGATGTCATAGTGTATTTAACTGATCCATCTGTGAAAGTATCACCTGTTTAACCGATAAAAATAGAAATATTAAATAAAAAAATATTAAATAATAACAAGGAAAAGAAACAATGATGCATTATATAAGACGAAAGTCTCAGCTCCCATCCCAACCAATTACAGGATCACAAAATTTGTCCCATGCCCAAGTATAGAAGCAAGCCCTTCTCTATTTCCAGCAACAGACATTTTATTTGAAGTGACTTCTGACTGCCGTGGACATTCTCCTTAAAGAACCATGAAAAAAATTATAAAAACAAAACAATTGGTGACTTGGCATGTGAAGGATTGACCTGAAGCACAATCAACACCAAATACAGCAACTATTTGCCCGGCATGTGCCTCTTGAATGTCCTGTAACATAAAATTCCCCGAAGAAGAGAAAATGTATTAAGCATACAGTAGAAGACATGTAATAATCTTCGTTCATATTGACATAAGTACAAAAGGAAAAGGTTCATTTGGACAGACTACTAAGGCTTTTTTGTTTCATGGAAAGTGATTTTCTAGAAACTATTTTTCAAACTATCTTGTGTTTGTTTATCATTAGAAAAATTAGTAAATGGAAAACACTTTTCAATCAAAGAAAAATTTAGTTTGGTTTCTAGAAAAATAATTTTCTTTTATTTTGGACGAAAAACACTTTCTAGAAATTGTAAAAAAATTAAAAATATCTTGTTATTTATTAATTATATCGAATTTCATCCTCAATCTTTTGATTGCTATATAATTTATTTCAAGTCATTTTTTTTTCAATTCCATCTCATAGAATTTGATTTTATTTTATTTTTAAACCTACTGTGGTCCTCATTCTTTTGATAGTTATTTTTTTTTCTCTTATTATTTTCTTAATTAAATTTTTTATCTATCAGATTTAGTCCTTATTTTTCTAATTGATATTTATTTTATTTGAAATAATTTATAAAATGATTGTTTTTCAATTTCATTATCTTTCAATTTTTTATTTGTTAAATTTGATTTTTATTTTTTTAATTGTTATTTATTTTATTTAAAATAATTTATATAAAAAAATTCAATTTCATTCTCCTTTAACTTTTTTATTTGTCAAACTTAATCTTCATTCTTTTAATAAACTCAAAAAAACATTAATAAATCATTTTCCAGCTTATTTTCTATAACACTACCAAACATAAAAAAGTAATTCACTTTTCAAAAAGATATTATTTTCCAGCAAATAAAACGGGGCCTAAGAAGAATGTCAAAGTGCAGAAACTTACCTCCATTTCATTAGAGTGCATCCGAACCAAGCGAGGAACCTGCAATGAAAAAATATTAGGAGTGTAACAAGAATGTAACAGAAGCCAGATCACATTATGTGCCCAAAACTTACCTTGATCTTCTTGCCTGTGTTAACATTAACTATAAAATCACCCTTGCGAATTACACCCTCGTAGATTCTTCATTCAAGAAAAACCAAAAATAATAAATGTTAACATGTCTCCTGTCCAGTACTAATCTAGCAGATCATATTCATGCAAAACTTGCAAGATCATTAAATGAAAACTAAACCAGCAATAAGCCATACCTAAGATAAGTCAACTGACCAAAACGCCCTTCTTCTAATTTGAAAGCCAATGCCACAAGTGGTCCATCTGGAGTTCCAGTCAAGACAACCTACACACCCCTTGATCAGTATTTTGAGGGAGAAATAGTGAGAAATAAATTGAGATCAAGTAGTTCAACCAAATACCTTCTCTTCATCTTTGGTTTGGTCAAGAGCATAGTTACTAACTTCAAGGGGACAAGGCAAATAGCTAAGCACACCATCTAAAAGTGGCTGCACTCCCTATAGGGAAAAGGTGACAAAATATGAAGAGACTATGAATAAACAGCAAAGCAAACACAACAACTAATTACCATCAATTATACCCAAGACCCAAAGATACAGTAGTAGAGAAAATAAAATACCTTGTTCTTGAATGCACTGCCCATGAATACAGGAACAAATTTCTTTGCTACAGTAGCCCTGCGAATTGCCTTCTACTCAAGAAGATAAAAAATTCTGAAGTTTAAGACCACAATAAATTCATGCAATTATAAAATGAAATTCTTTGCAAGGAGCAATGAGACATCTTTAGAGCTCTGCATTTGTTGATGAGACATTTGACAATAATGACAAACAGAAAATTTAAAGTTAAGCCCCACCAACTGACGAGTCAAGGAAAAGAGGAAAAAATGATTTAGGAGGTTGGATATCTTGTTCCTATACTAGATGATGAGGTGCATGAAAAATCATTGTTCATGAATATTTAATTTTCTTTTAGAAATAAATTTTTTGTCTTTGGATATACCTCAAGGTCAGAGGTTGAAATAGATTCATCTGCAAGAAAAGCATCTGCAAGTTTATCATCAACTTCAGAAACTGTTTCTATTAATTCACGCCGTTTTTCTGCAACCAAGGCCTCAATCTCAACCGGTATTTCTGCAGTGACAATTTTTTCACTGAAAGAGGAAATGAATAGTAAGAAAAGGAAATTAAATTCTAAAACAAAGTTACATGACAAATTCAAGTAATCCAACATCATATGCTCAAGTACTCACCCATTTGAGCCATGGAAATAATATGCTTTCATCTTTACAAGATCGATAAGGCCTTGAAAATCATCTTCCAACCCAATTGGAACTTGAACTGCTGCACTATGATGTCTTAGTTTAGACCTTGCCTGAGAAAATGAACCACAATAGACAGAAATGAGAGAGACTAAAAAAAAAAGGCAAAACCTATCAATATATCTTTATATGATACATGTTTTCATATCCTTGTATAAAAAAAAATAGTATAAAAAAATGACAGTTTGAATTTTTGTTTGGCAAAATAGCACAGTTTAGTACATGTTGCAATTGGAAAATGTGAAATTTAAAATTGTCGTTGATGGGAAACGTGCATTTCAAAAAAATTGTTAAATGAGATGGCATAAATTACAATAACAAGAAGAAAAGGAAGAAAAGGACCTCGAAGGCACACCAAAGCTCCGATTACAACACCATTGATATCATCAGAAATATTTTAACGAGACAAATCCAACAACACTAAGAAAGATGTGGGTGATCTGGGCCACACTCTTTATTCAAAGGCAAGTAAATAATTACAATGAAGAGAAAGAAAAGAGAAAAAAGAAAAGAAAGAAACCCCTAGGGCATGTTGAAGCTCCAGTTACGAAACCACTAGTATAATTGGAAAAATATCAACAAGACAAATGCAATGATACCAAGAAAGGTCAACAACGATGTATGAGCGGGCCACACTCTCCATTCAAAGGCAAGTAAACAATTATATTGAGAAGAGAGGAGAAAGAAAAAAAGGGACTCTAACGCATACCAAAGCTCCAATTATGAAACCACAAGTATTGTCGAAAAGATATCGGTGAGACAAATGCAACAACACCAAAAAAGGTCACCAATGGTGACCGTAGTGGGGACCTTGCTTGGTGTTGTTGGTGACCTTATGGTGACTATAATTTGAATAACCGTACTATAAACAATAAACAGCATAAAACTTCCACTCATTAACAAATCAATTTTAGTAAAAACCTAAAGAATGGCACTAATTAAGTTTATTAGTATAAAATAACACCCACAATACACTAAAAAGAAACACAAGTTTACCTGGTTCAAAACTTTCCAAGGATCAGCTCCCATTCGATCAAGTTTATTAATAAAAGCAAGCCTAGGCACCTCATATCTCCTCATTTGCCTATCCACAGTAATAGACTGACTTTGCACTCCACCCACGCTACACAATACCAGAATTGCACCATCCAACACTCTCAGAGCCCTCTCCACCTCTATTGTAAAATCCACATGTCCTGGTGTATCAATTATATTCACCTACACCACCACAGAAAAAACCATCAATATTTTAAAACAAGCTCCAATTCACCAATAAATGCTTCAGAATCTGTTAGCTAATAATTGCATAGATTACCAGTATAAGAACAGTTCAGAATGCAACATGCACAAAATTCAACAAATTCATACTCAAAACATTCCGAATTCATGTAAAAAAAATTCAAAATGTTTCAAATCAAAACAATTTCCCAGCCATATTCTGTAAGCACTAGACTCAACAAAACAACCTAACAATCCAAGGTAATACACCCAAACCGCAAATTCTTTCTCTAACTCTCCACCCAGTCACTAACTTGCCCATTGACACCACTTATCTAACATTAATCCCCTTGCAAAGAAAATCCAAAATCCTTCATTTCATATTATCTCAGACTCTCGTACATGTAACTCAATTAACAGAAAAATAACATGCTCTCCAACCCAAAGAACACGTCAACCTAAATTTACCAAATATAACAAAAACGCAAAATTCTCTTCTCCAAAAGCTGCCTCTTTTAACACATAAGCTACCCAATCAAACCGAAAAAATCCAATATTTTCAATCCCAAATAAACAAAACCCTCACAAAACCCACAATTGACAATGACAAAATCCCCAAATAAAATAAAGAAGACAAACATTGAAACTGCTCATTGTTTGTAAGCTAAAACAAGCACAAACTCACACAAAATTCGCAAACGTTTTTAAATTGAGCAGAGAATATTCGAAACGTTTGAAATGTTGGAACACCTGATATCCATTCCAAGAGCAGTAAGTAGCAGCGGATTGAATAGTGATCCCTTTCTCTCTCTCCAAATCCATGGAATCCATCTTGGCCCCAACGCCATCACGGCCGCGAACCTCATGAATCTCGTGAATTCGACCAGTGTAATACAGTATGCGTTCAGTGAGTGTGGTTTTACCGGAATCGATATGAGCTGAGATACCAATATTTCTCAATCGTTCCATCGAGTCCTTCCACCATGGCTCCTTTTCTTCTTTTGTGGTGGCGCTTGCGAGGTTGGAGAAGTGGCGGGAGTGCTGGATTTGGAAGTTGCCCTGGAGGAGAGCCGTGGTTGGAGACACTGACGACGTCGTTTTGGAGCGGGAGAAGGTGTAGGAGAGGAGGCGTGATCCATTTTGGAATCGGGTCATGGTGGTGGATTGATTCCCGATGTGTTAGAACCCTAAACCCGAGGAGGAGTGTGGAGGTTTAGGGTGCGGGGGTTTAAGGTGGAGATAGATGTAGTGGTAGAAAAAGAGAAACTTTGGCGGGTCGGTTCGGGTCGGGTCTGTTGGGGTCGGGCAAATGGGTCTTTCTAGATACCAGTACTAGTTTTGGGTTAACAGAGATATATATTTGATTGATAGAGTAATTGGGAAAAAAAAAAAAAAGCTTGTAAAATTGAAGAATTTAATTTAGGTAAATAGCCTAATAGGAAAAAAAATACTAATTTATTCAATTTTACATTTTTTTCGAGTTTTATAAAAACTTTATATGGTATAAAAATATCCATAAAAAATATTCAAATATTAACAAGGTTGCTATTATTTTTAATTTAATAACTAAATAATTCCTCGCCAATAAAGTGCTCTGTTTGAGACCAGAAAACTTGAATTGAATGATTGAATCCTACCCAACAAAAGTTTTTTCATAAAATTTCTCAGCTTCTATAATTTCCTCATAAGGGGTTTCATCTATGAGTTAGTAGCTGCTAGGGGATTTTAGTCTTTCTTGGACACTATTTTTCATTCTGCACACAATCTTGCTCTCACTATTGCTTACACAAGGAATCTTGCTTCAACCGTACCCTCATTTCTGATCTTCACCATTTGCAATTCTAGTTTCTTATTTAATTCGGGAAATAACAAGAAGAATCGCATGGTGTTTTGAAGTCTGTGAAGGGCATTCCTAATCCACCCAGAGTGTTTGTAGAACTACATTTGTTATTTTCCTTACCACCTCCAGTCATGGTTGTTGCTTCAGAAACTCCATCGTTTACACCCGATGAGAATGAAGTTTGAGCAGCAGCTCCATTGAGTTGTGTATCACCATCATTCACTTGATCTAGATAATCAGCCCTCAAAAGAGCTCTTTGCACATCTTGCCTGAAATGTAAATGATCTTCAACTTCTGTTCTTGTCACTGTACCATCAGAACCCACATCAACATTTGGGAAAAGATTTGAGATTAGAGTTCTATAAACAGGAACTCTAATTTTTAATTTTTAATTTGGAGATCTTTAGGGGTTTACAAGAAAACAACATTGGTTGTTTCTAGCTATCGAAAACCTGTTTTGGATTCTGAACAACAATAAAAATTGAAACTATTGAGGGTTTTATGAGCTTTTTTTTTTTTTTCCTAGAGAGGGCGAAGAAATTGTAAGATGAATAGAGAGAAAGGCATTAGGTTTTGTTTGTCTCTTGGTGGGTTTTATGATATAATTTATGCGGGTTTATTTTGATTATTTTTTTTTGATTGGGGATTTTTCTGTAATATTTAAAATTACAAAGGCAAAAGATAAAATAAAATAAACTATAAAATGCTTATACTTTTATTTTAAAAAAACAGTTTATAAGCTAATAACACTTTATAAGGAACTAAAAAAAAGATTATCATTGTATTATAATTAATGAATAAGGAGCTTTTCTATTTAAAATTAAAAAAAATTGAACTATGATTCTTTTATCCAAACCTGGATGTCAATCAATAAGGATTAACTTGCTTTTTTTAAGAAATAAAAAAAATCTAATCTAACTTAGTGTGTCAAATTTTTGTTTCAATTCTGAGATCAAGATTATTTGTAAAAAAAAATTAAATAAAACAATGAAGGTAAATTCTCAAGTAAAACAAAAAATTAAAAAAACCAAATAAAAAATATAAAAAACAGAATCAATCTTAGACAACTTGACTTACTCGCGATTAATAATATAAGATTAAGATAACCATATAAAAAATTTAAAAAGAATCATAAGGTTCAAAACCCAATAATTTAATGTCGATTAATGAAATTGAAAAAAAATCAATTTTAAAAAATATTTTAAAAAAATCAAGTCAATTTAAGTTGATAATACTAACATGTGAGCCAAGAAATAAAATCAAGATAACTCCATTTAAAAAAATAAAAAAAATCATAAATTTTTCCTAGATTATTCATGATTAGCTTATATAAGGTTTCTTTATCCATAACTTTTGAGCAGGATATCAAGTTCTTGAACTTCTAGAAGAGTTATGTGGTGAGTTAGGAACATACTTGACATTCAATATTTCTTACCACTCTAAAGCAGATGAGCATGCAAAGTAGTAAGTCACAACCTAGGAAGTATATTATAGAGTCTAGACAAAACAAGCCAAAGCAATGAGATCTGACTTTGCCACAAACAAGATTTTTCTATAACAAGTTTAGGAAATAGACTCCCCGGTTGAGCCTATTTGAGATTGTTCGAGGAAATAATCCATCTAGTGTGCTTGAGTTGGCACCTATTCCTCATGTTGTTTCACTGAAGATATGACATATTATCTTTGTAAGGTGCATGATCAAGTTAAACAAACAATTTTCAAGCAGATAGCCATCACAAGATGGTCACTTTTGAGGTTGGTGACTTGGTATAGGCTCTGCTTACTCATTATAGGTTTCATGTGCAGTGCAAGTTGCTTTGGGCGAGAAAGATTCATCCTTTTAAAGGTATTACAAGAGATCAATAAAAAGGCCTATCGGTTTCATCTTCCTATTGATATGAAGAGGCCAAGCTTAAGCTCATTATTTAAGTGAGAGTTTACCTTTTTTTTATTTAAGTGATAAAGCAAAGAGATGGCAATAACTTTTGACATACACTTCTCCTTCCAATATTAACTTTAATTGAATGACACAAGGTTGCAAGTATCTATCAATTTGACAGTCTTCGGTAATAATACTTATTCGATCAATTTGTGTCCAAGAGTCAATATCAACATGAAGATTTTCAGAATTAATGGTATACTTGAATTTTTATTTTTTACGAATCTAACTGCGTATTAAAAGTGAACGTAGAATGGAAATTGGAAAAGGCAAAGTGTTGTGAGCATGGCAGCCCGATGTTCACATCAAGTCAGCAGAGCAACTCAGACGTGAAATTGAAATTATCCGTAGTTTGCTTTCATTCTTCCCTCTCTTACTTTGCATTGTTGAATTCCCTCACACTAAATCCCAAGCCCTTGCCCCTCTTACATGCATCACTATCATAGTTACTGCTAATGCAGGCCACAGTCAGCTTGCAACAGAAAAAAATCAACAGTTGCTTCTAAAAATTTGGTGGGAAGCCAACAATCAACCAGAAGAATGCTCTCCAACTCACGCACAAACACCGAATGCAGTGAGTCTTAATTATACATGGAGCTCAAATTTGAAGTTCGTATTTACTATTGACAAAAATAATAGCTTTACATTAAGTTTAATTTCTCCAAGAATTTCTCCATGTTCCTGCACAACACAAAACTCCCTAAACATTTAGAAATAATACACACAACCTTTAATGAAATAAATAGAAATAAAATCTTATGATTGTATTTCATGGCAATTGGCCTGAAAGGCATAGCAAAGGGATTGAAAGGCATCACTACTTGGGCATCTGTTTAGTTTGACACGCTGCTGACATGACACGTAAGCGCCTGGTAATCTCCGTGAATGATGGACGGGCCAAGGGATCAGGTGCCCAACACTGCTCCATTAGCAATCTCCATTCAGAGTCACAAAAGCTCGGTACAGGTGGTCTCAAAGTGTTATTAACTATGCCTCCTGCAAAGGAGAGGGTACACAGCAAAACAGCAAAGAGACATGTGAATAACAAAGCAATTCCAGTATCAATAAAAAGTTGAGCGAGGCATTTATCAGCAAACAAAAATTTATAGAAGAGGTTATAACCCTCAAACCAATATTCCTAAACTCTTACAAAATCTAAAATACAGAAAAAATTGGATAAAGAACATGGAAGGCCCAAACTTCAGCACCTGTGGAACATATTATCACGCTGTGTGCAATGGAGCATCAAAAGTGTAATACTTTGTGATGTAACAAGAATGTTTCATACATACCTATGATTGCTCCGTAATGCATATTGGCATAAGGCTCTTCACCAGTGAGAATCTCCCATAAGACAATGCCAAAAGAGAACACATCAACCTGCCAATAAGTGAAGAAGCTACAAGCATCAACTGCATAATTACTGTTGTGAATTGACCAGGAGAAACAACATGCCGAATCTCCCATAACTTGCCTTGTTTGAAAGGGGGGGGGGGGGATCATGGTAAACAAAATCTGACAGGGATGTAAATATGCACTTCAGGCAACATGGATGAAATTTGTTACTTGCCTTTTCAGAAACCTTACTGCTGCTACCATTCAGGAGTTCTGGAGCCATCCATGGAAGAGTTCCCCTTACACCACCAGTAACCAAGGTATTCCTTTTGATTTTTGACAAACCAAAATCACCTACCTGCAAAAAAAGAACCATTTATGTTAAACATTAGATTCACTAGACCACCTTGCTGCTTGCTAAGTAAATAAGATTTCAGAAATCAGGCTGTTGGATAAGAAACATGCATCATAAATGGAACCTACTCAAACAGCAACAGTATCACAGTTACCTTGCAAATAGGTCGTAAAGGATCTTTCAGGTTGACAAGCAAGTTATCACATTTCAAATCAAAATGCACAATGTTCTTTGAATGCAAATATTCCATTCCAAAAGCTGCATCCATTGCAATAATGAGACGCTTACGATGATCAAGATGCCTAGACATTCATGAAGGTTAGATTAAACAACAACAATGCTAACAGAGAGTGAAATAAAAACAGTACAACATCCACAAACACATATAGGGATCTTACCTGTCCTTGCTAAGTAAAACATGTCTAAGAGAGCCATTTACCATGAACTCTGCCACAGTGGCAAGTGTTCCTCCTGGCCCATCCTGAACTACTCCATAAAATGCAACTACATTGGGGTGGTGAAGCTTTGAGAGAATTTCAGCTTCACGCCAGAACTCCACGGTCTGAAAAAAATATAAGTACTGCTTATTGATGCAGAATCAGACAAGTATGGAACAGATCCCTATTCTTCTTGATATTCTGGCAGATGGTTTACCATGTTGATCAACTTGCACATAATTGTGTAAAACTCCACTCATGAAAACTACACCCACTCTGTTCACTCATGTACAAAAGAACCTACCCTTTGCCAGGCAGTATGAAAGAAAATTCCCGTTTCTTTCATCTAACTGAAGGTTACTGAAACACTGAGTAGCAGCTACATCAAGCTAAAAGTTAAGATATTCTAAGTATCTGAGATGGATCGCATTCCAGCCTTCTAATCCAAATTTGATCTTGGACACAAAAAATAAGGTTTAACAACTGCCTTATTATTTCCTTACTTACAAGTCAACCATTTACATGCTTAATTGTTCATAACAAAAAGTCACTAGAATGAAAGTCAGCTCACCAGTCTTTCTTGTTTTACATCTATTCTTAATCCTAAATAGAATGTAACAATGGAGGGATCCATATGTAAGTGTTTTTTAGATACAAATGACTTTTCTTGTAAATGAGGATGTACACAAGGCTACTCTAGTCTAGTCCGGTTTGAAATGATCTTATAAGCTCTTATAATCAAGGAATTGACTTGATTATTAGATTATAGTTTATAAGTTCATAAACGTTTTGAGAAAAGCAGATGTGCTAATTCTTTGATCCCAGTTAGTAAGAGGGATCTTGAACTAATAAATAGTCCTAGAAACTAAAAAATGAAATATTGAGCAATTTCAATTGTCAGTCTCATTGATGATCACAAGTAAAACTGCCTTATTTACAAAAGTCAACTATTTTCATGCTTAATTTCAATTAAAATATCAATAGAAAGAACAGAAGCTCACCAATCTTTCTTGTTCCGATGAACGGCCTGTGAAACAGCTCTTTTTTATACGCTTAATAGCAACATCCGTACCTCTCCATTTTCCATGATAAACAGTACCAAAAGTGCCGGACCCCAATTCTTTCAACTCTTCCAGGTCTTCATTTTTGATGATCTGTGATGACAAAAAAATTATACAACTAAAAGAAATCCTCAATGACTGCTCCAATAATAATGAAGGTAGGGAGTCTTAAAAAAAATAAAAATAAAAAACATCCAATATAATGCATGACTAACAGCAAGTCACTAGATATCTCATTATGCATCTATATGTGCAAAAAAGTGAATGAAACAGCAGGAATTCGAGTCCACTAGGTCATTCAAAAAGGATGTCTGGATATGCCAAAGTGATTCCGAATGAGCATGAGACGTCATATTGTTTCATATATTTTTTTATTCATAATTTACACTGCGTGGGACTTCCTGAAATGAGCTTGCAAATGCAGAGCATCACCGTGGAACAAAAAACCAAAATTCTCTAGTCAAACATTGCCAGTGTTAAGGTTGCATGTTACTATATCCACTACAGTGAAGAAAGCAATGTCAGGAGGGAAACACAACCCATGTTACTTCACATTTGCCACCCCAGAAACAACACCTCCAGTTGGTTGAACTGTCAACCATGGGTCCCACCCTCATGGAGGAGAGTGGGTGGTGTAAAACAGTCCATTTCTCCTTTTCATTTCTTATTGTTTCTGCAAAAGACAACAGAACAGATTCTAGACACTAGTTTTGCATTTCCCCCTCCTGGAGGGCAGTAGGTGGTGCAAAACAGTCCATTTCTCACTTGCAATACTTATTTTCTCCTTTTCATTTCTCATGGTTCCTGCAAAAGACATCAGAGCAGATTCTAGATACAAGTTTCGCATTTTCCAGTCCAATAATGCTTTATCAATACTCTTCTGTTCAACTAGAATAGTACCTTGGCTAAAATATTGAGATTTTCACATATGAGAATTTCCAAACAATAATCTAATAAAATGCAAAATGAGTCTGCAACCAACAAAATTTTCAGCTTCTGCCACATGGCACAGCCTAGTTTTAGGAAAAATGAAAGAAATTACCTGCAAGGTGCTAATATCAAACTCTCCTGAGGAAAGGTCAACAAGATGTGCACCAGTGTTTCGAATGTCCACCTTCCCACCCTGACAGCATTAAGAAAATCAGAATGTCCGGTGAAATGATAGCAAGAAGGTAAAGACAACTGGATTATCAAACAGATGAAAAGAAAAAAAGAAAAAGAAAAACCTCATCAAAGTACCTCATACTCTGATTCTTGTATTCTAGCATTCACCCCATCCAATTGCGCACTCTCAGTTTCCTTCAGCTCAAAATGACCATAATCTGCATGGGAATCCACGGTGTTCAGCCCAACAACACCAGATGTCTCTTGTTGAACATCTTCCTCAATGTGAGGCAAGGCAACTCCATCAGACTTTAAAGGTGGATAACTATAATCAATGAGCGTCCCTCCTTCATCATTTGTAAGGGAGGATGAGTAACCCAGATGGTCTTGGTCTATAAGGGAAACATCTTTCCTAACAAACTGATCTTGCAAGTTCCGAAAGTACGACCAGTGTTTTGGATCATGATTCTCCATGTTCAAGCTCAAGCCCGCTCCATCAACAATTGGACCGACAACATTCTCATGGATTTTGGCTTGTGAGAAAATATCAGAGAGGATATCAGGACGAAACCGGTCATTTATATCGATTCGTATGTCTTTCTTCTCAGGAGTGACAGCACCAATGCTGGGATCCCCCTCAGATAAAGCTCTAACTGGGCTCTCTGCCCATGCCAAAGGCTGCACATTCACCTTAGTGTTGTTCCCATTATTATTGTCAGAAAGAGTTTCAGTTCTTTCAAACTCTGGAGGACCCAAAGCAGGATCTTCTGGGTGATTACTGGAAGTTCCCTGACTTGCTGTTGGATGTGTCAACCCAACTGTTTTGCCTTTAACCTGGAAACCTTCATAATCATCCACTGGATTAAAAACAACACGTCTTGATTCAGATTTCTGCACATTTGACCCAAGACCTTGAGCAATGCTGGGATTCACCGTACTGATGTTATCAGCAAATTCTTTGTGCTTCTCAAACTGTGCAAGTCCATCTTCAACGGTCTGAGGCTTTGCATAACACAATTTTGCAGATGAGTGGGACTGGTCAGTCTGGGAAGCCACATTTCCTTCATGCAATTTATCAATTGATTCTATAACTGGTTGAGAACAACCAGAACGTGCTTGAGCTATTATAATCTGAGGATCAAAGGAATCCTCGGATTTTGACAAGCGATTTAATTCTGCCTGCTCCCTGGGAATTCGCTCGGAATGAAAAACCCGATGTGGAGCGACAGATGGTTCGAGGTAGCTAAAATCTGTTGGATCAGCCTCAGACCCCCCATATCCTGGGGCAAATGGATCACCAGATGAGTGAAAATGGTCATCCCCGTTATTCTTCATCCCTTCGGTCACAATTTCAGTGGACATCGAATTCAGTACAGGTTCATGGGGGCTTTTATTATTTTTCATAAGCAGCAGAGGTGATCCTACTTCTGGTGTTGAATTGGCAACCAATACTTCTTCTCTAGAAGTATAATTTGGAATGGAACTATCATATGGATGCAAGGAAACAGTATCGTTTTCCACTGCCTGAATTTTAACAGTTTCATTAAGCTTCTGGAGTGAATCATCTCGTTTCATTTTCAATTCCTTTATTCTTGCCTCCTTATCCAGGGTTTGAACTTTCTCAGGTTCATTTATTTTCTGTCCCGAGCTCTCTCTTTTCAGTTTTGCATCCTTTACAGATGCTTCTGTATTTTGCACGTGAAAGCCATTGAACGGTTTCTCTTCTGCCAAAACCCCCTGTTGAGTTGGATACATGCGGAAAGGCACTCCCATTAGATTTTCCCCAGCCATTGCATGGATAGGGAGATGTGAGCCAAAACCATACTGAATTGGGACCGACAATGGATTGGTTCCCTTTTCATCCATCTGGGGGAAGCTCTGCATAGGTTGCATGGGGGACACTGGATGCTGGCTGGCATCTCCATGATGTATCTTCTGGCCATGGTAAGGCTGTGAATTAGATTCATGGGCACTAGATGAACTCGTCAGTACTGGTTGAGAAGATTGGGTTGTTGAAGGCAGCATATTAACAGCTGAAGATGGAGCATTACTTCCAGTTAATTCAGCTGCAACTCCACTGCTGCCCCTCTCAACATTAAGACTGAGTAACTCATCCAAATTGTTCCCTGATGTGCTTACCAGATTAATTGAATTCTTCCTTGAACCCAAGTCCATACCATTTACAGCAACAACATATTGAATCTCAGAATTGTCACCCTCTCCACTTCCCAGGCCAAATTGGGAGTCCTCCAGATCAGTGCTGGAAAACAAGAACATCCTAGGCTTCTTTGATCCCCCATCTTCTGATACATTGCATTCTTCCATCATGTTCTGAAGATCCTCATCACAGGATACAGAAACCAAAGCGTCAAGATCTTCACCAGGAAGTTGATATTTTATAGTGTGAGATTCATTGTAAATTGCCAAAGTTTTCTGCATAAGCTCCTGCCAGGAAATATTCTTGCTTATCCGGATAATGCGTGTTTCACCCCCAACATATCTCAGCTTTCCATCACTCGGACGAGGCAAAATTGTACCACCAAAGCTGCAGAGAAACTTCACCTTTGATGATGAACTATCAGAGGCTCCTGAAGATGTATAACCATGAATTCCTCGACTACTGTCATTTCTTGATGAGGTTTGTGGTACCGGCCGGACAGGATCATAATAACTTTGGTCTTCATGCACGGATGATCCCTTCCGGTCTAACTCCTGGTTCCCGGCTTTTTCTACTGTGCTTGTCATAGAGATGTCAGGACCACTTTCTGAACCCGTATGAGATATTCCCAATATGCCCTTTAGTTCCATATAGCTAGTTGTGCTATTAGGATCAACGTAAGCATTTGGAAAGAGCTGTTGCCTGGGGTTCACCCTCTCCCGCATAAATTCAAGAGCGAATTCCTCACCAGTCTGAATGGAGTAATTTAGCACAGGCCTAGCTCCCATTGACATGTTGTAGTCAGGAGGTCGCATGTTAGTATTAATATTAGCTGATGGATCATGGAAAAACCTTTGGTTTACAGACCCCAGCCCTTCATTTCTAGCTTCCATGTTATTATATCGAACTTGTTCATAGTTTTTCTGCTGCTGATCTGTCATGCCTTTTCCCAGATTCCTGTCCATTTGGGTCAATTGCACCAGTAAGGCAAGAAAATATTGCCATATCAGTACAGAATCACTTGAATGGGCAACCACAAACTTTGTTTTCTCTTTGACATCCTTGCAGAATAAAACCTGAAATGGGAAATAAGCTCTTGCTAATAAGAATTACTTGGTTAATTAGAAAGCAAAATGCCTAGCATAAGCAATCTTTAGGAAAAGAAAATATTTGGAGCAACAAGACAAAAAATTTCAATCGTCTTAAACAGAAACAAACACATGATCAAGAGCTTATTAGTATCAAATTTCAGTAAGTTTTACAGGAAAGCTCCCCAGTGATGGCAGAGTTGCACAAAGTAACATGAAATAGATAGATCTACTCACTTAAATAAAAGAAATAAAAGGCATTTATTTACACAAAAAGAATACAAATATGCATGCCTTAGGACAAAGATTGATCTGCTTTAAGAAAAATCGTGTGGAGTTTGAAGGTCATAAGATTAGCAGGTGCTGCATTTCCATATCCTTAGCAAAGCGGACTTAATCAAAGATCCATCAAATAGAAAAGTACCAGTTACATTCAAAAATCAAAGATGCTTCCACTAAATTACTACGTCTCATTGTACTATGAATCAATCAAATGTTAAAAACACCAGACTTAGACAACTCATTACATAATAATCACAAAAAAAAATGCTTAATTCTAAAATTCCAGATGGGCAGAAATACAATCTTTACACGGGAAAAAAAAAAGGTTGAAAGACAAAAATCATACTTAAACAACTAAGTTAATTAAATCCACTTGAAAAAACCTGATCATAAATAAAAGACTGGACGGTTGCTTTTGAAATTAGGACTCACAATAATAAACAGCAAACCCTAAAAAAAAAAACTAGAAAATTGAAATCAAGCTCAAAGAAGTAAACTTCAGACTCTTAAGAACCCTAAACTCAATAACAAAAAAAAAAACACATGGAATCCTCACTCAAAAGCCCGAAACTCACTCTGATTCCACCTCAACTCACCAGAAGAAAAAACAAAACAAAAGGAAGGGAAAATAATTATAAACTAATCACGACCACAGCTTAACCAAATGAAAAAGATTGAAACTTGGAAGCAATAAAAAAGAGAGTGGATGAGAAGCGAAGAAATAAGAAGTACCAGAAAATAGAAGCAATGACCGTAAAAGCTGAGGCAGCAGCCAGAGTCAGAGCTCTCTTGCTCTCTCTCTCTTGATTTTATAGCATGTTCTATTTTTTTTATTATTGTTACTATCAATTGTTTATGTGCGTGTAGATGTTGCTAGATCTATAAATTTTGTTGGCTTTTTATCTTAAAATAAAAAAAAGTCGGTATTTGCGGAGAGTTTAATGAAACCCACGCGTGCGTGTCGACTACGTTCTTAACCACGGAGTCATGTTTTGCTTAGTTGTGGAGGCCCCACTTAATAGTTAGCTTAGCTGGTGGTTCTTGCTTTGGATTTGGATGGGAGAATTCCAGGAACACCCTTTTCTTCTTTTTCCTTTTTTAAAAAAACAAATAACAGTATTTTATTTTATTTTATTTATTTCATTTGTTTTTTTCTTCCCTTTCTTTCTGGGAAAACGAAAATGAGAAGGGACCATCAACAGGCGAAAAGTATCCGATTTCTTCGCGATGAAAATGGAGGTTGCGAAGGTTATAAATTATTTTTTACTTAAAAACATATTAAAAAATATTTTTTTATTTTTAAATGATTCAAAAATATAAAAATATAAGATAAAAAAATTCAAAAAAAATAAAAGCATTTTTTACACCATAAAAACAAGGAAACTCGTAAAATTGGGAGAGGAGGATGAATCCTCTACATGTAATTGATTATCATGCATCTACCGGAGTATTCACGAGAAAGAAAATTTAACACTAGTATTGACTGCACTCAGTGAGATAATATTCATGCCATGGGAAGTCGGTATCTGCTAAGCTTCCGATACATGAATATATAATGATCATCATCCCTTCTACATGTCTATTTAGACACGTATACCTGTCTAGTTACAGGATACTAGAATCTTTTTAAACATAAAAAAAGTCAAAGTCAATTTGTTATTAAACTTGAAAATATTTTTTTTTAGGGATTTTTTTTGTCAATGTAAATGTTTTTAGTGATATATTTCTTGTTATCTTTTAAAAAAATAGAATTTTTAACTAAAATCATTGTTTCTGTTTAAAAAAGATATTTTATAATTGTTATATCATGTTAACAAAAAATTATCAAAATAGTATGTTGATATTTTATATGTTATTGAAAGCTAAAAAATCATACATGTAATAAAATTATTTTTAAATTCTATTTAAAAATTATAAACGTGATAATAATAATAATAATAATAAATCATGTATATGATAATTAAAGAGAATATTAAAGTTTAAATAAAAAATATAATAATATTTGAGAATCGTGTGAAAACTAAAAAAATAAATGAATCAGGTAAATTTCATTAAGGTAAAAAAACAAAAAAATAAAAAAGAATCGGGTCTAGTATCTAGCCTGCCAATAAAAGGCTAGGAGTGAGCAGGTCTAAAGAGGAAACCTGCAAGCCGGCCCAGCTTTAATATTTTTTCTATTTGTTAAAGGATTATTCACTAGTTATTTTTTTGAAAAGAATAAAATTAAATAACATGTCGTTTGCATTTGTTTATTTTGTTTTTATTGCCTCTCTGGACGCTCAAACCCTCGACACCTAGGTATTTATACATGCATCAGCCACGATACAAATTCACTATGAAAAATAATTAAATAAATATATTAATCTAATTTACTATTTATATAAACAGTAAAGCAATGCGAAGAATCCTCGTTCTATTTCAGAGTACTGTTTTGGAGAGAGTATAAGAGTCCCCAGGGGTGTTTTTGTAGCAAACTTCTCTTCTTTAAATTCACGGCGAAGATATTAGTCAAATGTAGGCACCATTACGGCTGAGCATGATTAGTCTCGATAAATTGATTTAACAGGATATGACGCAGTAAGAATAAGCAAATAGCATCAAGACTTTGTGCGTGACATTATAGCAGGAATTTTGAGGATAAATAGTCTTCCAAGGTATCTGTAGCCAAATCACATCAATGAAACGTCTTCGACTCGCTTAGGAGGGGTGGAACTATGATTTCATAAAAGAGGGTGCCAAAAATAAATGCTAATTAGATGGATCTCAGGACGAGTAAGCTCAGAAGGACCGGGGATATCTCTGCAATTGCAAAATTGAGAAACTAAAAGGGGCGTAGATTAGAATAGTAAAAATCATGATGATTTTACTCTTCTTAACATGTATAATTGCCTTGGCAACAGGGTAGAGAGGGCTTTTTATACTGTTTTTTTTTGCAATAAAATAACTAAAATATTTTTTGAGGGGAAAATAATTGCACTGGTGAGCAGCGGTTTTTTTTATTTTTTTCAATTTAAAAGAATAGTAAAACAACTACATTGTTATAATTTTAAATTATCTCTGGTTTAAATTTAAGATTTATTGAGTTTGATTAGGGGCAACTTGGCATGTTAGCATGTATAAAATATTATTTAATATTAAAAAATTAATAGTATATACAGTTGATATAAATAAGTACAGATATATCCATATTTTTTAGACATGTATGATGTCATTCAATCATCAAACACCAACTTTCACAACATTATTTCAATTTTCAAGATAACCCTTTAATTTATAGGCAGCACATGTGACCAGTAGATCTTGGCTTTTTAATCGGCAAATTTTTTTTTTCTTATTTCCTTTCTATTCCTTGATTTTCATGTATGTCCCTACACATTTTCAAAGCATTTATTTGATTTATATTTTTTTGTATTTGATTATTATTCTTTTAATTGTTGTTTTTTATTTTAAATAATTAATAAAATTAAAATTTTCTTTCAATTTTATCATCCTTTGATTATTTATTTTGATTATTTATTTTTTTTATCTATTAGACCTGACCTTCATACTTTTGATTTTTTTTTATTATTTTTCAAGTTGAATTACTTTATTAATTTCATTCCTCAATGTTTTGTTTCATTTCATTTCTATTACCTTGGAAACAGGGTAAAAAAGCTTTTTTCTACTATTTTTTATAATAAAATAATTAAAATATATTTCGAGGGATGAATAATTGCACTAGCAAGTAGGAGTTTTTCTATTTTTTTTTTCAGTCTAAAAGATTAGTAAAATAACTACGTTGTTATAATTTTAAATTATCTTTAATTTAAGTTTGGGGGTTACCAAGTTTCATCGAGGGCAATTTAATATATTAGTATATATAAAATATTATTTAATATTGAAAAGTTAATTGTATATATAGTTCATATAAACGTGCGCAAATATATCCACACTTTTCAAGTGTGTATAGTGTCATTCAATCGTCAAACACCAGCTTTCACGATATTATTTGAATTATCAAGATGACTCCTCAATTTATAGGTAATACGTGTGACCAACAGATTTTAGCTTTTTAATCGGCAATTATTATAAATATCAAAATGTGACCGAAAAATAACATGGTGATCACTGATAAGTTAACCTATAAACATTAAGTGACATTAATGAAGACAATATTTATTGTATCTGAAATGTTTTTCTTGGAAAAGTTTAACATGCCCAGTCCAAATTTCAAGATTCAACACCTAATAAAGAAATAAAATAAAAGAGATCAATAAGTATCCTGAATTTCAATAATTAATCTCTTAAGAAATAGAAATTAAAAAATCAACTTGCCAAAAAGATGCTGTAAACAAAGCCAATGAGTAAAATATATAGACGATAGTGATACTAGATGATAGATGGCGATGGCAAGAGAAAAATGTGATGATAAGCAGCTGAAGCGGATGAAATTAAAAAAAAAAAAAAAAGAGCCAGGGGAGATAATTGTGTAAATTAAAATAAAACATAAAAGGGTTTGAATTACCAAAACTTGATGTTCATGTATATAAAAGTTATTCCGGCGTATCCTGTAAAAAAAAGAAAACTTAAAATATTATTTATTATAATAATATTTTTTTTATTTTTTATTTTTTATTTTTTATAAAATTATTCTATATCGTATTATGAATTTTAAAAGTTAATTTAAATTATTTTTTTAATTTTATATATTAATATTTAATTGATTGAAAATTGTTTGAGTTGTGATAAAATTTACCAAATCTACTGAGTTATATTAAATTATTAAAATAATTATGTATTAGATATATTAAAATATAATAAGCTTTTCTAAATGGATTTTTTTATCATTAGAGTACATATATTAAAATACAATAAGCTTTTCTAAATGGTTTTTTTATCATTAGAATACCTATATTAAAATACAATAAACTTTTCTAAATATTTATATACTTAGAGTGCATATAAGTAAAAAAAAACTATATTTATATTATTTAAATAACCATATTATCAATTTGGTTTTTTTAAATAGTATCTCTTCCTGGAGATACTCTAGAAATAAAAGTTGTAAAAAATAGCTAAAAAAACCTATTGTATAATGAATTTTTAATAAACCAAGTCTACGTGAACAATGAATGAATACTGAAATACCACGGTGCTTTAGTTGTTTTTAGAATTAGAATTATAAATCCTCTACTCTTGACATAAACTTTGATGGAGCCTTATTTATGACATTTCTAATATCATTTTAAAGATACTGACAGGACAAGCCTGGTTGCACCTTGGAAGATCAATGGTAGAAGTGCTACGCACATGCTGCCCGTAAACAACATATCAACCCCCTCACTGGCGCATGTAATGCTCACGCTAAGAGGAAAGAAAAGGGATCATTTTTAGATGTTTCGACCAAGCCTAAACACCTAGAAACTGGTCCACAAGACTAGGTTTCTTCTTTTCAGCTTCCCACGCATTTTCTCTCTTCTTTTCAGCAAATTAGTGCTTGACCCAACGATGAAAGAAGCTTGTTTCTTTCCACTGTATTTGGATTCGAGCCATGATATGTATATTTATCACCCTCGCGGTATTTTACATGTCTACTGGGTTTGTAGGGTATTCAATGAGCCGTGAGATTAATTATGGTGCGTGCAATCTGGCCCGGACACCCACGTAAATAAATAAAAAACTAATAAAAATAAAAATAAAAATTATCTGATACGTCACTTTTTTTTTATTTAAAACCCGACGTGGTGCACCGTCTGTGCCCATGAAATTTTTATATGTTTAACTGACAAATTCTTCGTAAATACACGTTTTTATTCAGGTTTGACACCATATTTTCTGCAAATGGCACCATATGTTTTTGCAAAACAACCGCCTGCTCTCTCACTAATGGTTACTTTTTATTAAGATATCA